CACTAAAAGCAGGAACAGGAATCAGTAAACAGTTCCTTCACCATATTTTTAAAAAGAAGATAAAGGTATAAAGACACTGAGTTTGAGTGTTTTTTGTAACTGGTTCCAGTCGAGAGCTGCAGAAAACTGAAATGAATAGCAGCCAAAGACAGCGCGGGCTTTGGGGATGAGGAGGTGGATGAGGTTGCTGTTGCGAAGTGAGCGGCTGATGTGACGGGTGATGAGTAGTGAACGTAGGTATGCCGGAGTTTGACCTATGATAGTTTCATAAATGAACAAATACCAATTGGTTTGCCTGCGGGAGTGAAGAGAGGGTCAGTTAACCAGGCTGTACAGAGTGCAGCGGTGAGTGGTGAAGGGGGCACCAGTGACAGAACGGATGGCCGTGTGGTAGATAGTGACCAGTTAATGGAGGAGGAATTTGGATGTGGATCTATAAAGTATGTCACCGTAGTCAAACATCAGAAGTACTGTCATGTTGACCAGGAGGTGTTTAGCGGATTGTGTAAATGAGGATTTATTACGATACAGAAAACCAATTGTATTTTTGATTTGGTTCTGTACAGGGATGCAATATGATGATAAAATATGAAAGTGAGAAACACACTGTGGTCTAATCCTGTGCTGCAGCACTGACTTGAACACTGTGGTCTAAACATCCACAAAGCTTTGGTGGTTTTTGTTTTTGTTGGTAAAGCATTGGTGTAAATATGTAAATAGGTGTTCAGGTTAACTATGAGCAGTGGAATAAGGGGTGGGAATTAATAAGCTTTGGCTTCCTCCTGCTCCCACATGATTTATTCATTGAAATGATGTTGGAGGTACTTTTTCTCTCCTTTAGATTCAACTACGTATTCATTCAGTGGCAACGGAGTGTATGTGGGTGTGTATGAAGGTATATGTATATATGTGTATGTGTAGATATGGGTATGTATAGATATGGGCGGCTGTGGTTCAGGTGGTAGAGCGGTTGTCCTCTGATCGCAAGGTTGGTGGTTCGATCCCCGGGGCCCTCCACAGTTTAAGTGCCCTTGGGCAAGACACTGAAAATGAAGTTGCTCCCAATGGCAGGCAGCATCTTGCAGGGCAGCTCTGTCGCCATTAGTGTATGAATGTGTGTGTGAATGAGAAACACATTGTAAAGCCCTTTGAGTGCTGCTAAGGCAGAGAAGCGCTGTATAAGTGCAGTCCATTTACCATGTATATATATGTATTTTGTCTGTCACTCACATGAAGTCTTATTGTTTATTATTTTTTTATCCATCCATCCATTATCTACAGGGAGTGCAGAATTATTAGGCAAATGAGTATTTTGACCACATCATGCTCTTTATGCATGTTGTCTTACTCCAAGCTGTATAGGTTCGAAAGCCTACTCCCAATTACGCATATCAGGTGATGTGCATCTCTGTAATGAGAAGGGGTGTGGTCTAATGACATCAACACCCTATATCAGGTGTGCATAATTATTAGGCAACTTCCTTTCCTTTGGCAAAATGGGTCAGAAGAGGGACTTGACAGGCTCCGAAAAGTCAAAAATAGTGAGATATCTTGCAGAGGGATGCAGCACTCTTAAAATTGCCAAGCTTCTGAAGCATGATCATCGAACAATCAAGCGTTTCATTCAAAATAGTCAACAGGGTCGCAAGAAGCGTGTGGAAAAACCAAGACGCAAAATAACTGCCCATGAACTGAGAAAAGTCAAGCATGCAGCTGCCAAGATGCCACTTGCCACCAGTTTTGCCATATTTCAGAGCTGCAACATCACTGGAGTGCCAAAAAGCACAAGGTGTGCAATACTCAGAGACATGGCCAA